TACATATTTATCATCTAAAAGGACTACAAGTGGCATGCCCACAGGTCAGCAAACATAACACCAGCTAATACTACCCATAAGTAAACCGTTTGGGCTACCGAAGACAAGAAGTCTTGTTTTCATTTCAAGGTAAGATCTAACTTCAGAACTCACCCAAGAAACCTTCAATTCTCATATGAAAAGATCTTGTCTTTAGTACCAAATGGAGCAACCCATGCTGACATTTGGGATAAGATGACCACATTTATGATGCCAGCTGAGAAACCATCAATTCTCAATCAAAAACTCCTTTTTAAAAAAAAATAACTCAGACAAAAGACTCCTTGGCTTTGCCATCAAATCACTTCCCAAGTTTGCCTGCCTTGCCCTTCAAATAGTCCTTCAATCAAGGCTCCTTTTGAAAATTTAACCACTCCTTTGTCCATCTCTACTTCAAAAACATACATGCAGATAACCCAAGCTTCTGACTAAATGTATAACATTGAAAGAACCACCATTTCGATTAAGAAAAATCACAATGTCGCAAATAATTTACCAAACCTGAAGCCTTTCTAAACCATTATGTTCCAAAATGTCCCATTGTCAATGTAAAGGACTTGATTGAGGTATGTTACAACTACATTTACATGTTGTAATTAGGAGGCAATATAAGAAACAAACTTAACAAGATATCAGAGAGAAAGTGCACAAAGTTCTTTTTGTGCAACATAAAGATTATGTCAATGCACAAAAAATAGATAGGAAAGAATTATTTACTGAACATATGCCAATTAGTGTAATGTACAGAAGAAGCAAAATTCTTACCAGGACCCATTATGTTTTGATTATCTATCTCAACAATGTAGGAAGAGAGATAGTTGACAAACAATGTGGTGTTGATAAGTCCATCTGTAGAACTTTCAAGGGAGGCTTGGAGTTGAGCATCATCAGCATAATGTGAACCTGGGACAAACTCATGAAACAGGGGTTGGATGAGCCTTAGATCATTAAAATTATGATATATTCGTGGAAAGAGGCTGAACTTCAATACGTTTGCCCCCAACCCTCTGAATGTTACCGGTCTATCACTAAGCACGCTTCCATTTTTTAGGGTTCCACCAACAAAGCTGGTATGCTTTTTATTGGCGTGATCTTTAGCAGTGAAGTTGAAGTGAAAACCAACGGCAGTGGCAGGATTATCGGGAAGATCAACAAACAGCCACGAAATGTACATATAATCATGACGGAGACGACAATTGCTACACTTTAAAGTTATGGTCGGCCCAGCACTGGTGTTGTGACATGAATAGCCCACAAAATTCGAGAGAGAATCGAATCTGAAGCCAGGGAAGCCTGGATCCCCAGTAACTAAAGTACCAATACCGCGCAAGTTGGAACAGCTCATGCTAGAGACGGCGGTTATGTTAAATTCCATGTCATTGATGAAAGAAGCTAGCTCAGGTGCATTTGCGGCTTTGACGTTATGTATCTCGATGGTTCGCTTGCTTATTATTTGGTAAAGCAGCCTGAGAAGAAACTGAAAGGCCAAGTCAATATCCACCAACAACAGAATCAATGAATTGATAACTGCAGCAGCATCATATGCGCATCAAGAGGTTCCATACTCACGCAGCAAACAAGCCGATGAAGAGTATCCAACTTGCTATTGAGAAAGTCCCCCCAAGCTCTGTTTTCCGCTTCTTAACCGTACTCTGGTCGTCCTATTAAAACATGTGACCAAATTCGTGTAAATTCCAGACTGAGTTAGCAGTTAGTTTCACAGAATTAAAGGTGAGTCAAAATCCACAAACAAACAAAGAAAAGATAAGAGGGGTAATTGAGAGAAAAACATAGTCGTTAGTAGGGAAGGGAAATACTAGGAAAGGAAAGTCAGAAATGAGAAAGGAGGAGAAATTACGAGCCAATGCCTGGTGGCAAAGCAAACATCCAAGCGGCTAATCCACCATCTGAGGTTAAAGACGAGATTTCTGCCATCTCGGAGCTTAAAGAAGCGGAGGAAGAAGCAGAAAGCGAGCCAAGAGAGAAGTAAAACGAGTGTAGCCTCAAGGAAGACGGCCTGCGACTGCGTGAAATTCCTGATGGAATCGAAGGAGAATATGGTCTCGGGAAACGACAGCGCGTACAAATCAACGCCGCTATCAGTAAAGATCTCCGACCTCGTTCCGAAAACCTCACAGCTGTTGGTAGTGGTGTTCAACAGTTGCCCCACCGGACACGCACAGTGCGTCCCGTTGTAACTCAACGCGTTCTTCGGACACTCCATTCTCAACCAACACCTTCCGTCCTTCTTCCTCCGGAATCAAATCGTGGAGTGGAGTTATCGAGAATCTTACAGACAGCAAACCAGGAACAAGTAAGGAATTTTTGAAGTTTCCGTCCGTCTCTGTCTTTTCCCCATTTGGCTGCTGGCATAGGATGAAATGACGTCGTAGCTGACGGATAAAATTACAGAACTACCCCTTAGGTACGCTAGAGGAAATTTCTTCCGACACTTGATTCAATTAGCATCCTTGATAATAAATAGTCAATTATTGCAGCATGTTTCGGGTGGTTAATATTGTTAATTACTTAACCGAAAAACTACTTTCGGAAAAACTTTTTTTTTGTTAGTTATTTTTTATTACGCAGATATTATTTTACTTTTTGTAATTAAAAAAAGATATAATTATTTTTTCTGTGGTTTCATAGTTTAAACATTTGAATTGATCTTTATATTAATTTGTTGTTATTTTAATATTTTACTTTTTTTATTTATTAAATTGTCATGTAATAATAAGTTAGTTAATTTTTTGACTTTGTGAAAAATAATTTAGTATTTAATTATTTTAATAAAAGTTAAAATTTTTAAAAGCAAAATAAAATAAAAACCATATAATTAGTTTTCTTCTTGTTGGGTTGTAACATCTGCTACAAATGCTTATCTTCATCCCTTTCATCTCGTATTTCTTTTTTTCTTTTTTCTTTTGGTTAATTTTTATTCAACATATTCATATCTCACATCTATGGTTAATTTTTTTTTTTTTGTAGATTTATAAGGCAAGGTAACGTAATACCTCAATACATACATACATACATACATATATATATGTCATTTGGACATGGATATCATCTTTATCTACTTAATAAACATGTAAAAATCTAAAATTAACAACCCCAAATAATACAAATATTCGCACAATGGTAGCAACATAAAGAAGGCCAAAAAGAGAAGAAAAAACTAAATCCTATAAACACTGAGGTATGTTTGTTAAAAATAACAATTTATAAATTATGAGATTTTTTTGTCTTACTAAGAAATTAAGGTTATGAATATGTCTTTTCAATTTTTTTTTTTTGTGATTTTTATATTACACTTAAATATATATTTTTTAAGTTTTCCTAAAAGTTCATTTATTATATTTAAATATATGACTTTTGAATTTTTCTATATAACTCATATCTTATATTTCATTATTAAACTTAAGAATGACACTTATATTTGGAATTTTAAAAGTTATGCTAGTATCTATATTTTTATATACTTCAAGAATTTTTGCAACAACCACAAAAATTAACATAAGTTTTTCCTTATTTTTTATCTTATTTCCAATAAATTATCATCAAAAATTAATTTATCTCTCAAAAATTTTTTTACAAAGTAATATGAGAGCTTGATTTTTTCGTTTTTTGGTTCATTGACTAAAATTTTAGAGAGATGACTAATAATAATCTATTATCATTTCAATTCCCTCGTCTTACAAAAAAAATTATGAGAGTTGATATTTTTGCATTAAAGTCATTCTTGACTCACAAAATGTGTGGGGTATTATTGACAAAGACTTTATTCTACTAAAAAACGAAGCATCATTGACCCAAAATGAAAAGGATGTTTTGGCAAAAACAAAGGAGGATCAACAGGCCCTTAATCTCATCCATCAAGGTTTGAAGAATTTACTTTAAGGAGTTGATAAGATGAAGAAGGTGCAACTTCAAACTTTACAAGGCGAATTTGAAGATTTGAGAATGAAGGATATTGAATTTATTTCATATATTTGCTCAAGAATAAAGTCTATGGTGGCCAAATGAAGAGATACTGATGCAGAAATGGGTTCAAAAGGCATTAAAGAGAAACATGAAGAAGAGTTTACAATGTCAACTAGTCCAATCACAAGATTTCAAAACAAAAAGCTAAAACATATATTTCAAGACTTTGTAGAAAGATGGATACAACAAGAACTTAGCACCTGTAACTTTTTTGAAGAATTAAAAAAGCCAAAACAAATTATTAATTTCGTCCAAGTGTGTGGACAGAATTTAGAATGGATGTTTAGGGTCATTTTAGTCATTTCCTAGATAATTAAATTATGTTCATATTTTTATAGGTCATTTAATACCATATTTTCTTGGGTCATTTAATATCATGTTCCCGTAGGTCATTTAATACCATGTTCTACTAGATTATTTAATACCATATTTTTCTAGGTTATTTCATTTTATGTTTTCTTAAGTTATTTAATACCATGTTTTCCTACGTCATTTAAATTATGTTCATATTTTTTTAGGTCATTTAAGTTATGTTCATGTTTTCTTAGGTCATCTAATTATGATCATTTGGTAGAATGTAGGTGTTTTATCCTATAAATATCTCATTTTCAATATAATATGATACATTTTGATTATTAAATGAATTTCATTGCCTTTGGTAGAACTTTGACAAGTGAGAATTCTTATTCTTCTTGTTACATCAAGAATTGAATTAACTTATCAAGTTATCTTGTAGCGTTTATTCATTCTTGCTTCTTTCATCTCAATCACTCAAGTTCTCAATTACAAGTTAGTTGTGGGTTTGATAGGGAGAATTTGTTTAGAGTTCTAAGTTATATATGCTAAATGTATATATGGAGTTTTGAATGTAATATTTGATCTCCGGATTTCGCATTAGTTTGGTATCAGAGCTTTAGCCTTAGATAAATCTCTAGTTATCATTTGTGTTTGATTTATCTAAGTTTATCTTCTTGTTCTTATTTATTTAGACCGTTCAACTTCTATCTTTGTTATTTTTAATACTAGTTGCAATTTATTCTTATTCTTTAATTATGTGTTCTTTGTCTTTTAATATTTTGTTCTTATTAGCCGAATTAAAAAAAAATAAAAAAAGGCCAAAAAAGGAGAAAATGAAGAAAAGAAATATTAGAATTGGCTTCTATTGCAAAAGAGAAATGGTGTGTTCATTAAACTTTCAATTCTATCCATTTTAGTCAAAATGCATCCACTTCACATATATAGCCTCACAATAGCATAGTTTTTATTGTGTAAAGTGTAGCTTACATTAGGAATAGATTATAGGTTTAGATATTCAGATTTCTCATTATGAGTGATATGAATTCTATTACCATTTGTCGAAAGTCGTTTTCTTGCATTTTTAGATTCATTTTTTTCATATATCTCTTATTTCTTAACAGTACCTAATTGCATCATAATTAATTTAATTAATTTAAAGAAATGCCCCCAACCTTAATTTGTGTGTCTAGATTCTATTCTTGTTTATCTAATGTGTATCTAGTGTTAATTATTTACCTTCTTATTCATTAGAATTCCTTAAAGTGTTACATAAACAACTACTTGTTTATCTTGATTGAGTTGCTTTTAATTCTGAAGTATAACTTGAAGAAGAGAATATAGTGGTAAAATGCTTAAGGGTGTGAGCATAGAAGAGGATAAAAGCCAAAATACTGAGTGAAAATATGAGAGAAGTAACAAATTTATTCAAGAGTAAAACACATAAGGGAGTGTTGTGAGAAATTTTCTTTACTAACATTTTCTTTATAGGTTACGTCATGTCAAATTCTGAAAGTGAGAAACGTAAAATAATCATGAATGACATAGCTTTTATGTTAAAAGCAATATAAAAGCAGTTTGAGAAGCATAATAGGGACATAAATAACATGAAAGGTGATATATAGCCTTCGAGACCGACAAGGTGGTCCTAATCAAAGGAGATAAAATAGGGAAATAAAAAATATGTTGAATGATGATGAGATAGAAAGGGAAGAGTCAACGGTACAAAAAAGATCGAAAAGGAGGGATACTAACATTTGTTCTATCAAGATGAAAATTCATTCTTTTCAAGATAGAAATGATGCTGAAACTTATATAGAATGGGAACGAAAAGTTGAGTTGATATTTAAATGTCATAACTACTCTAAGGAGAAGAAAGTGAAGTTGGCAACCGTTGAATTTATTAATTATGCTTTAGTTCAGTGGGATCAATTACTCATCTCTAGGGAACGTAATAGAGAGGCACCCATCACCACCTAGACTCGAATAAAAGCTATCATGAGAAAAAAGTTTGTTCCATCATTTTACTATAAAGAACTCCATCAGAAGTTGTAAAGGCTCACTCAGTCTAAATCAGTTAAAGATTATCACAAAGAAATAGAGATAACCATGATTCAAGTAAATATCGAGGAGGATAGAGAAGCTACCATGACACGATTTCTAAGTGGCTTGAATAGAGAAATTGTCGATATAGTTGAATTACATTACTATGTTGAGTTGGAGGAGCTGGGTTAATATGGCTATTGAAAGTAGAAAGACATGAAAAGTAAGGGGGACAACAAGTCTTATTCACTTTTAATAGCCATTGGAAATTCAAATGGCCTAAGAAGAGAGAGACCAAGAGAAATAGCTTTAGTTCTA